CCAAGAGAAAGTCAACGACTTGCTGGAAAGCCTTCAATTTATGGCGGGTTGAGTTATACAAATTCGTTGGATCATGCTGGATATGAAGCTCAGATATCACAAGTTCACGGCAAAATATTAGAGGTCTTCATTTAGCAGTTGCTCGCAAAAAAGCGTAACATTTATATTGACGGTATTGTAGTTTGGAGCACGGATACTTCTTCGTCACAAAATTTCCATGCCGCACTTGCTGAAAGGTCAGGAACGTTCCTAGAAATCAATGTTTCATCAATTAAAATGATGGCAATACTGCATCATTCATTACGTGCCTCAACAACGGAAGTATTCCAGTCATCCACCAGACTATATCTAACGTGTAGCCTGAAAAGAGCTTAAGGCAGGATTTAACGGCATTAGATGGGACTGAGGAGAGTGCTAAACGAATATGATGGAGGAGTCGCCTGAATTGGTTGGGGAGAGGGGGCTATCGAAATTGCAAAGGCTTATGTTCAGATATCAACTGGTGTTAACAACACGAAATGATGCCCTTTGAGGTCCGGTTGATCTGATGATTTTGAATAAATACTACTTAGGAGCCCCCAAAAAGTTATGTTATTTCGAAGTGGTATTGCAAGAGAATCGCTTACACGTTTTGCCGAATGATAAGTTCAGCCCGAAACTGAGAATAAGTTATATTAAACACTCATTGGCTGTTGAACAAGAAATTTTTAGCCTTTTCTGACGCAATCAAACGAGAAACGACATCAATTTGATGATCTGTCCATAAACTGATTTCAAAATTTTAGTCATAGCTGCCTCTCAACAAAGGTTTAAGCTCGTAACTGTCTCAGGGCACGCTTCTTTGAAATTTCGACCCAGCTGTTTGGATCTACCGTGCCTGATGAAACTACTCCCTCTACCAGTTGTTCAGCGTTAACATGAGGATGATTCGAGTATCGACAATGTAACCTGATCAAATATCACCACCAGCTGTGCCTCTCCGTCAAGGCTTCTACGGCATTATCCGGTAGCAAAACATATTCCCCCCGCCAATACTCATTGTTGCGAAAATTTGTGACCTGCTATTGCCAACAACAGCTGTTACCGTCAGTAGCAGCTGACAGTGCGTAAGAGGTTTTTGCGTAATAACGATAGCGCAAACAGAGCCAAAGCGGTTATATGAACAGAATTTGACAAGGCATATGATTTGACTGTAACTATTGACTTTCCACTTGTTTTCCTTTACAGAGTATTCATTACTGATGAAAAGATACTCACAGACATCAGTTATGCAGCGTACTGTCAAAGGAACATATTTGAATGAGGAACTTTTCACTTTCAGCTACAACTGCTCAGTCTCACCTGTATTTTTTAGGAGAAGGGGAGCTAAATTTACTATTGATCAGTCGGGTAATTTTCTACAAAGTTTGAGCGACTATGACAAGATACGCTCCAACTTTCCAGGAAGTTGGCGCCAAAAAGCAACTATCCTTAGGCCATTTTATAGAAACTACCTAATCCTCATCATCAGGATTTAGTTTTCCGTCATTCAACGATCAAAATTAAACAACGACTAAGACAGCCACACAGACAACCAAGATGTAAAAATTTGACAAAAATAATACTAATACAAAAGACAAATGCTTTTCAGTTTTTGACACCGGACCACAAGACAAAATCTTCATTATTAATATGATTTAACTGTAAATGAACAGTGGAGATGAAGAGTAAATCGAAGAAATCGAATTAGCAAAAATCTACCCTAGAAACTTGTGCTCCAACTTTAAAAACGGTTTAAAAAACAACCTAAATGAATTCTTTGTTGAAGCAAACTTTAATATCGCAGACCACGTCTACAGTGCAACAACCATAACATATGCAAGTTATTAACAAAATAAACAAAGCGCCTGTCGAGGCGGTAGCCGCGAATAGTGAATTGTTCGGAGTTAATCGAATTTGGGCCTGGCAAAATTGATTCTGAATGGCAATCGAAAGCTGGCAATATAAAGGTCAGTGACGCTACGTGAGCGCACTACCAAAACCTAGATCACCATGTGGTCTAATGGTCATTGCATATCTAAAATTTAGATTTTATTCGCGAGAAATGGCTGCTCCGTTTTCAAGCTCGTATCAGAAAAGAGCAACAGAAATTGATGTACTAGTTTAATGGTTGAGATCACGCGATTCAAAAAATTTTAATTCAAAATTTACAATTTAATAGCTACAGCTTGTAAAAAAATACTTTACAGTTGAAAAAACAGCTATAATTAAAGCGCACACGAGTTTCAGCATGAAAAGGACAAAAAGTAAGGATGAATACACAACTGCGACTATCACCGAATACAGTTTAGCAGATGCATGGTTTGTCTAATTAACATGATTTTAGAAACTTGAAAACAGTACAGTACATGGCAATTTTTGTAGTTTACACTAATTGTAATTATTGCACTTCCGTATTAGCGAAACGTACGTCGTTGAGAAAGACAGCTTCAGAAACTTTTGCGAATGGTAATCCATCAGTCACAAGCAGTCGAAGAAAGACCTGTGAATCTGCAACTGTTAGAGCCAGGTTCGCCATGAACAAGTTCAGAACCATTTCAATGTTACAGAATCAAAAGAAATATGAATTCGTGTAGAGAAGAATATTAAATAACGCGTAACTCCTCTAATAATATGTCAAACGTTGTTCTGCAATTCCCTGTTGCCCGCTATATTAGCATTAGTTTCGCGGCATTCGATCATTTGCTGTGTTAAATGCATTTTGCATCGGCTGATTCCTTATGCCTATTTCTTTCTCATAACTAACGATGGTTTATATGTTAATACTTCCCACATAGTACTATATGTGCGTCGGAATATAGGATATTGCTTAATGACTGGATGACGTTCCATGATGCTATTTTTTCGTATCCGTCCAGTGTGTAACCGATATTGTATCATATCTTGGTTTACTGAGATGTGGCTCTGTTATAGCATATTTTAATGCTTTCCTAACCCAACTGATAAGACTCATATCTTCAGAATTAGTATTATCAAACCGAATCAGTCTTAAAACACCGATCGACGCTAGAACCATTCGAAAAATATTTGCCGTTAAGTTTGACAGCCAATTTAATGAAACTTACATTAGTATTATGATTGACCATATGACTTGCATATGAGCGACCAAGAAACGATAGTAATTCGAGCAGTCAAAATGGTGACATTTCGTAAATTACCAGAGGTCTTGATGAGATCCATCAATATAAAAGCACGGCAGTTGTAGATTCACGCGTTTCTGAGTCCCTTCGACTAATTTTCTTAATCTCACAGAAAGTGAGAGAGCGTATGTCGCAGAACAGATCTGCAAAGCATTACTTGTCTGCAATGCAGTACTCCAGACGAACGAAAGCCAAATTTGCGATCTGTTGGTTTATCTGCATTAAAGTCAAGTTGCAAATGCAATTCGCAATCTAGGAGCTTCCTGTGTTAAATCGGAAGGCTGAAATTTTTGGAAAAATTCTGCGCAGTTGCCACTTTAATCACATGGCACAAAATTGTAGCGCTATTACGTTTTGAACTGGCACCCATAATCAGTACTGATTATACGAAACATAACCGTCGCCTTGTACGGCGAAAAATGACTCGACGGACTCTATTCCAGACTGAGGAAAGAGTTGCTTCTGCAGGGCCGCTAATGCAGAATGTATAACGTTGGAACCATTGTCTGGCGCAGTTGTCTGACTGACATGTGATAAGCTAGTATTTAAAATAACAGAAAATGACGTTAATACATAATTATTAGTAAAGGGCAACAAATAATGGCGTTAATACATAATTTTTCGTACATTGAATTATATTTTAAATAGGGTTTTACTTTTACGGAAATTTTAAATGATTGTTTGATAATTACAAGTGTTTTACCGAAGTAAACAGCGTTGACTGTACTATTCAAAATTCGTCTCTGCCGCTTTGTGATAATCAGGTACAACAATCATTGCAGGCGTTCAGACGGTAAATTTGAAGCACTTTCTGCGATTTGCTTACTCCGATGAGTATGAGTAACGCTGTACGTATTGTATGTATTGTATTTTATTTATTACTGGTGCTGCACTGTCAAGATTTACACACGGAGGTGTTGAGAGGTAAGTGTAGTGATGCTCGGCATAGGGAGTGATTAGGCGAAGAACGATGCCTGTGAATCGTGCTCGATTTCGTCAAGGCTTTTTCGACTTTTCTTCGCCGAGCATCTTCTGTTTGTTTGCTTGCGTGACATCAGATTTCAGGGCGAAGCGAATGCTACGATGAGAACGGTGCCCCGCAGAGGTGTGTACCAGAGTTCGTCAATGCCGCTTTCAACCGCGTCGTCGAGGTGACCAACACGTGTGGGGTCACTCGACCGACCGAATATTGTGTGCAGACAGGTCACAGCGGTATGACTAAACTATGTGACGTATGCGACGCTCGTGTGCCGTCCTTGTCACATCCATCGGCGTACCTCACCGATTTCAGCAACCCTCAGAATGAGACATGGTGGCAATCGGAGACAATGGCCGAGGGCGTGCAGTACCCTAACTCCGTCAATCTTACCCTCAGACTAGGTGCGTATCTTTGTGTATTTTTGCATGTATTTGTTTCTGCGTTACTTATTTGGTCAAACGATTTGGTCAAAGCGATCGATCGATATGTCAAAGTGATGAAGGCGTGTGCTTTGATTCATTGATGACTTGCCTGACCGACCGGCTATGTAGTAAGGAATGTTTCTTCGTCGTCATTGGTGGCGAGTTCGCGAGTATATGCGTTAGTTGTGGACGGACGGCGCGGGCGGATGGAGGACGGTGGTGGCGTGTGTCGGCATTCGATCATCGCGGCTTACAGCCACCACTGCTATCGCGTCGAACCTCGCCTCGCCTCGCCTCGCCTTGCCTCATCTCGTCGCGTCTCGCTTCCTCTGATGTGTGGCCGTGCCAGCTGCCATTAATTCTCCGTCGTCTTCGTTCGTCCGCTCGCTCGCTCATTCACTCACTCAGTTTTATATTCCACCATTACATCTGTTCTTCCTCACTTTCTACCCTCCTACAGAATTAATTCTCCTCGTCGTCGTCGTCGACGGAGTTCACCTCTTAGCTTTTGCTGCGTTTGCGGCTGTGGCCGGAAATCACTAGGTTTTGCAGCGACTTTCCTCAACAATTCAAGTTGACAAACGTTTAATTTTGACAACTAATTGACATATTAGATAGATGAACTTTGTGGCAGTCAAGCTGTGATCAAGCGCTTATCAAAACTCTCCATGAGGAATGACGCTTAACCGTTTTTCTCAAAATAAAAACGCGGCTTACATCCTGTGCCGATTGTTAAGGTGAATCGTTCGTCATCTGTGAAGTCTGTTAGCTTAATTGTAGCCCTAAGCAGTTCATGTATCGAACAACATGACCATTTAATAGGGGAAAGTGATGTTAAGTGATTGGCATCGAACTCGGTGAGAGAGAAAAATTATTTTTTTAATCTCTGATTTTCTTGAGCAATATGATTCACCAAGCTTTACCTCGACACAGCCCTCAGAGAAACAAACAGCAAGTCAATCGCTGACTTGCAAATAACAGAGATAGCATGGTGCTCTGATCTGATCAAAGTAGAATGGATGACTGATATGACCATGAGGTCTGATGATAGCGCTCCTTAAGGCTGTAGTTTCAGTTTGAAATCAAAAAGGTCAAAATTGGGGTTACGTCTCATGCTGATGTTTACACTGAATGGTTAGTCATGGGTCAAGGTGAAATGCTGCTACAAGGGCTCTAGTATGAGACAGCATGGCCATATAATTGGTAGATCCTACCATGACAAGCAGACCAAAATATAATGCTGTTCCTGTTATTTGTATGTCACCGACTTACTGTCAGTTTCGACTGAAACAGTGTGGGATTAATTCCCTTCTCAAGAGAATCCAAGTTTAGACAAAGATCTGTCCGTTGAGCGCATTCCAACGCTTTACCTCCGCAGTTCAAAGCTGACCTCTTAAGACACTGTGCCATAGCGACGCCAAGTTCGCCTTGACCCGCGTAATTGTTGGTTTTCCAATGAGATTGTCAGCAGCAGATGCAAATACAAATACTGTTGTTGTTTGTATGGGATCGGTGCAGTATTGCACCACGGGATTGCCATGCTGTCCTCATTGTTCACAGGTCGACAGTGTGTTACCTCTTTTTCGGCTGGCTTTATGGAATCGCATGGCTTATTGGGGTAGGAAGGGAGGAGGTGAATTCTTTGTTCAAAACAAAGGAAAGCTATCAAGATAAATTTTGGTCTGCTCATTGATTTGAACCCTGCATCTCCAAAGCGCATCGAAGCTTCTTTCATACCCACTGCATTACATTCCCGTAAATTGGCAGAAAATTCCTGTGATGAATCAAGAGTGCCATATTGTTTCAGTTTTTATCTATAATAAAAACTAAGATTTGTCCGGTTAGCAAAAATTTAAATTTTCACTTTAAAAACAAGGCAATTCATCGATCGATGATCAGCGGGGATGCCTCAATATTTGCGCTTCGCCATTGGGTCAGAGATCAAACTTTGCGGTGCGTCAACTGCATTTGCGTCTATTTGCGTCGAAACAGTAGTTGAACAAAAAAGGTTTCATTAGTTAAAAAAATGACGAACATGTGCACCATTGTTTACTCCATCCATAAAGAATTGAATATAACGGTGCAAATATAACTAAGTAAACGATGCAAATAAAGGTTTGATTTTTGACTTGGAACGAATATCAGAGTAGACAGCGTCCGATCAAATGGTTGGCGAAATGACTCACAAGTTCCAGCACTGTTAGACGGAATTTGGACGATTTTCACTATCGACTCTATAAAACTTGTTGTTTTCTCCATCCGCTGTATTATCCTTGAAACAAGGTTCCAACGGGTGTTGCTTTTGTATTGCCCTAAGGATGCTAAACCAAGGTTGTCTAGTGTAGAGAACATCTAACCGACTCCGCGTACTCATGCCTTGTAAGCTTGGTAAATGAACATCAGTTTGTGGGAGAGGAGCAGGTGAATAAACGCGATGTTAGCCACGGAACTGTTGTCGACTCTGCGTTTAAACAATGTGTTCCAGGCTGTTGGTGTGGAAACGATGATCAGCACTTCACCATTGACTTCTTAGAAAGAAGGGAGCAACAAGTGGCTCTTCATGAAAGACAGACATTTAACGGTTTTGAGCTGCTCTTTCGCTTTTTTTATTATCATTCAGAAGACATCGTGGAATGGGAGCTGCAGACACTTAACGAGCGAAAAGGCATCCGGCAACAACCACATGCATGTCCTGTATCATTGCTCTGTTTGAAACTGTTTGAGTTGCGTTTAAATCAAAAGATTTATTAGCATTTTTTTCTAACAAAGGTGAGATACCAGATTCCTCATAATACAGTAACAGTTTTGATAAATCAATCTGACTACCTCTCCTTACGCTATCAGCGTATCGGACAGGCATCACGCATAACTAAGGCTCAGAACTGCAAGATTTAAAGATAGAGGGAGAACGAGTAGTGAACGAGAAGGTTTTAATAAAGTTTGAATTTTACCTTCAGACCGAAAAGCCGTCCCAAGCGAAGTGACATTACTGTCGATCATATGAGTTGTGCTGCGATAAACTCCGATTGCGAATGACAAATAACCAGAACATGGATTATCCTACAGACGGATTTAGAAGGGATCGGAAAACAAAACCCTTTGAACACTTTGAAACTATATTTTCTGAACGTCGTTTTGCAAGATTATTCCTGCCATGACCCCTCCTGTTTATTATACCAGTCACTCCAATGAACTTCCTGTTGAAACTCAGTTGCAAGGATGGATTATGCTTTTGTCTTGTGATTGAACTCAATAGAAGACTAATTGTTCAATGATTAGACATGAAGACCTCTGGCTTTGCTCTGTTCATAAAGGTTATACGATTTGTTACGTTTCTTTTACTGTATTCAGCATTTTATTTTTGCTGTGTAAGGATGAGGTTTTTTCTTACAGCACCCATATATACACAACGTACAACACAATTATTATGTAATACATTTGAAGAAGAAGGAAATTCGCGAATTTAAAATTAAGTGACTAACCGTTGATTTTGTGGACACCTCATTTCTGATTTTCAGGACGACGAAGTTTTTTCATTTAACAGCACTTCGTCAGTGACGATTGTTAGATGTATTTGAAGAGGTGGTATCTTTCAATATCCGTTTAGCCAAGGAGACAGAACTGCCATACGCTGTCAGCACAGTGATCTTAGCCACGAGACCGTATTACCGTCCTGCATGACTTCGCCATACTAGCGCAAAATCACCTGTAGTTAAGGGCTCCAAAATAGACCGGCGAAGAATAGGTGAAATTTGCATTATCGCAGGCGCAAATCATAAGAGGCTCCATGCAGGCCTAAACGGTGAAGGTAGAACTTGCCTTTAAATATGTTATAATATTTCCATTTTTTGGCAAGCTTCATTCTTCAGATCTTTTGATTCTGAGAAGTTAGCTTATCTCGAATTGCGTATAACATGTACCATGTGATCAGACGAGATTAAACTTTCGCTAAGGACTACATACAGAGACGCTTCACATTTTTAACCCGAATGATCGGTATCTGCATTAGATTATTTTCTTCTCTGGCGAGGTTGACGAAGTCGTGGTTTCGGGTGTGGTTTCGAATATACTTGGACATGTACTTATAAATCTGACCACTTTGACAGTCCATTTGATCGTGTCGCTCCTGTGTTCTTGGAGATCTTCGCTGGCAGTAACAACTGTAGCCACTCTGTGTTGTCATCCGCATTTTTCAAGTTTATAAAGTTTATTGGTGTACATACTGACGTGTATTGGAGAGACTGCTCAAATTTGCGGAACGCCGAGACTGTCGGACTGAAGCTATATGGCTACTCTTCTGTACTCTAGTTATTGAGTGACCGCGTCTGTCAATTTTAATTTCGCTGAATTTTCGCTACAAGATATTTTTCAATTTATGAGCATTATTTTCTCTACATCAGACGATTAATCTTCGTCTGAACCTTTGTTTTCTGTTATGGTAATGAGTGTCGAGAAATACAGCAGTATGTAGTAAATCGAAAATCCGACGTTGACTCGCTTTCCCTAGCCTGACAGCTTTGTTTGTATTTGTTGTGATAATAACCCTGGTCGATTTGCATAAACGGAGCGTCTCTGTTGATTGACTTCCGTTGATCCATTAGCTTTTCAGTACTTCTACTATAAGCACCGTTTACTTCATCGTTCATATACCAGTTATCTGAACGCAAATCTCTCTCTACGGTTATGATTGTCATGCGTACAGCATTATGGGTTTTAGTATACCTTGTTAACGTTATATTTTTGTTTACACTGTAGCTTCTGTAACCGCTGTAGTGCTTATTTGATTTTCTACCATTTGCACCCACCAAACGGTGAACACGTTAGGAAAGGCATATTATTCGGTACTCTAGAAGCAGTCAGAGTTTTTGGCATCAAAGTGGAATGGAAATTTCGTTTTGAAAATCCAGAGTAAGGTGTCTCGCATTTCCTTGCAGTGTTTTCATTGTAAGCTTTTTCTGGACATCTTTTACCTTGATTATTATTTTCTTTCACACAGAAGAGTAGCTTTTTTAACGTCATCTGTCCAGTTTCGGGCAGCTTTGTAGTAATGACTACAATGGTTCTCCAGGTTCCGGCCGACGGATTACTCTGTATGTTTTGTTACGGTGTGCTCTAACGTTACGGTATGAAATATATTTAGCATTATAAAAATAATAATTTAATTGTTAGTTTTTTAATGCGTTGTTTTTAATGCCATTCTGCCAGTGTCATCTCGATTCCGTACTTTTTAAATGCATTATATTACAAATTGCTTATTATGTTATTGTATTGTAAAGGCATCGCTCATGGCGGATCCATGACGAGAACAAGTCGCAAAACGGATTAGGGCATTGTACTACAATAACATAAT